ATTTACCGAAGATCGCTAAAACTGCTTCTCATACATCCGGTATAGGGTCCCGCGTCGTGCCAGAGAGGGTACCCACCATGCACCTTGGCAAGCGCGCTTGCCTTGTGAATCCATGAATTGTTCCTTGCTACTCTTTTTCAGACTTCACGCTAGTGAAGCTGCATTAAGAGCAAGATTTAGAGCTACACCAAGACATACACGAGAACTAGATTATTGTGCTACATCAACCGCAGAATTTGCGCTGGATTAGAACAGAATATGGGCTTTAAGCGCTGGACATGAGTTCTCTTTTTATATAGAGTTTCCTAAATATACACGAGAGGAAACTCTGGTGCTAGGGGCAATGATGGATGGATCAGGTGAATTTGTCGGATTTTAGTACTTCTGGCTTTGTTTGTGTTAGCGTTGCTTGAAGCCTTTTTTTTTTCACGAAACTAAAATCAGCAAATGTTCAGTGGTTGTGCTTCACCACTTTAGTACTCTAGGCTTACCATTTTGCCCCACCGTGGTGGTTTAGTGGATAAGGTACTCGGCTGCTGACCCGCAGGTCGTGCGATCGAATTCCGGCTGCGGCGGCTGAATTTTCGATGGGGGCGAAAATGTTGTAGGCCCGTGTGCTCAGATTTGGGTGCACGTTAACGAATAAAGAACCCTAGGTGGTCGAAATTTTCGAAACCCTCCATTACGGCGTCTCTCATAATCATGGTGGTTTTGGGACGTTAAACCCCGCATATCAGTCAATCAGGCTTACCATTTCAAACCGGGTAACGAAGTTAAGAAAAATCTCATTATTTCCTTGGAAACAAAACCGAAACACAGCAATAAACGAAGCCACAAGTGTGATTCACCGCCCGCAAGTACGAAGGCTAGGCAAATCTGTGTACTACCCATCATTCCCATGGTGAACAATTGCATGCCTAGCCATAGTCCGCTCTAGTTAATTTTAAAAAACTCTGTTGTTGTTTTTTTCACATCCGCTTCACGCGCTGGTGAATTCTGCTGAAAACACGTGCTGTGCAATGCCAATTGGGGTGTGACAAATTGAGAGAGAGCCGCAGTTCGCGTGGAAAAATGCTGCTCAATGCACCGAGATTGATGCGAATTTTGCCGTCAAAGTGAATGACACCATTTCAACCGCAATCGCTTCTTCTTAAACAGAATTCTCTATCTACATAATCTACTGTCGCGTTTGTTCGGCTAAGGCAGTGACGGACGGAGGTTTGTTCGACAACGCAGAGGGAACTGCTGTAGCCTCCATTCGGCCAGATCAAGACATGTCCTTTTGGTTGAGTAATTCGATATTGGTAACGCACCGTCACAAACCATCTCAAATAAAATCCCTAATATAGCTATAATCGCGCCATCGGGACAAGGCACCGTAACAGGCAAACTTTCCACAGCTGTCATCTCGTGTCACGTAGCTCCTTTCGAATCATTCGAAGTGCACATAACGATGGAAAGCCAACACACAATGTTAACCGTCTGTACAATTCCGCGGCTTTTGTAAATTTTCATTATTTAAATTACACGGTAGAACCTACGTGCATTTGTTACTTCATTGAATTTTTTTTTCAAAAAACCGAAAGGGTCTGTTGAGATTTAGTAATACGTTTCGCTCTTCAGACTGCTCGTTTACATAAAACACTGATAAAGTTGTAATCATTGCATCTTTGTGCACTGACAAGTGGCGGCATTTTTCTGCTGCCTTGGACTCGTTAGCAGTAAGTGTCACTTAAATAGATAAATGCACTACCTTTATAAGACTTCACCGCAAAGAAAACTTCTCTGTGTATTATTGGCTGCAAGCTAGACCAAGTGTTTCTGATTTTTTTTGTCATGCGATAAAAGAGCAACGCAACGGCTGTGTACAAACTCCTTTTAATTGAAATGCCGATAGTAAACGAAGTGCTTGACAGCCCACAAAATTCTTCAGGCTTAAAGGGTGTACGAGATGCGGTTGTTGTCCCTTTCATTATTGTTCTACGGCAGTGGTTCTCCAGAGGGGTTCCGCGCACTACGGGGTGTCGGGAAAGCTGTTTCTGGTGGTCTGTGAAACCCATCCGGGAACAAAAAACAAAACAAAACAAGACACTTTTTTTTTTTGAAAACATAGGTACAGTGACAGCGACCCCTTTTGATTTTTGGTATGCTCCACCCACAGCATAACTGTTTGGCATTGCGGCGGAGCTTACTTGTACCTTTTCTTCTTCACGAGATGGCTGTAAAGCTTCTGTTGCAATTTCCTGTGACATATGCCTTTTCCAGACTTGCGTATTCGTCAAGGAAGCACAGCTAGAGAAACACGTAGAATGCGACGGCACACCGCGCAACTTACTGTGAACCTGTAGTTTGACCATTCCCTGCCACGGAGAAACAAATTGCACCTATTTCACGCGACATGATTTGTTAAGTTATGACAACACCGCCCTCTGTTTTTTTTTTCTCTATCTATCACCGCAAGGGGTCTCTCATCAATTCCAACAGTCTAGAAATATAGTGGCTAGAAAAGAAGAGGTGTCCAAAACATTCATGGCTACATTTGTCCTAACACATTAGCGAACGCTTGAAAGTGGTTAGTATACAGGGGTCCCACGTAAATTCAGCCAGAGTTTAAAAATATGCCGAAACACGGAATTACGATGCGACCAAATGCATGTTGCTCACCGTTGCCTGGAGTTAGACTACGTTTTTGTTCTCAAATGTTGTTTAATTAGATCTGTTTAATTAAGTTTTGTAGGAACGAAGATGGATAAAAAATTTCAATGAGGAAGTTGTAGATCAGTTTACGAAACGTGCAAATAGATAGTTTTGAACTTTATATTCGTTATGTATTAGTGTTTTTTTTTTGCTAATTACAAATTCCCGCGAAATACAAAGAAAATACCACGTGACGAACCCGCTCTCGCGTCAGTGCGCACGATTATTCTAGTGCTCCCTAACGTTCCGCGTACGAACGGCACGCTTTCCTCGCACCTGTTCACGACAGCGATAAGCAATTAGAGCGGTTATCGTTTTTGTGGCCGATAGCAAAACGTGTTCATTGTAAAGCCACCACCATCGTTGCGGGCCTGTCAAGACAGCACAATGGGGCAAACGCTATGGTCGTTTGTACGCGGAACGTTAGAGAGCACTAAAATAATTGTGCGGACTGGCGCATGAGCGGGTTTGTCACGTGGTATTTTTTTTTATTTTACGGGAATTCGTAATTAGCAGAAAAACTAATACCTAACAAATATAATGTTCAAAACTGTCTAAAAGGACGTTTTGCAAACTGATCTACAACTTTCTCACTGAAATTTTTTATCTATATTCGTTTCTTGTAAAGTTAGGTAATAAATATATCTAACTAAACAATATTTGAGAACACAAAAAGTAGTCTAACTCCAGGTGACGGTGAGCAACATGCATTTGGTGGCGTCGTAATCGCATGTGTCGGCATATTTTTAAACTCTAACTAAAGTTACCTGGGACACCCTGTATACATACAGTGCAGGTTGGGTTCCTTTGTGAGGAAACTTTATTGAAGTTATGATAAAAATTTAAAATATTGCCTGTAGTCAAAGGCTGAAGGTTGTTTTCCGAATAAATGAGAAGGCCCTATGATGTGAGAGATCTGAAATCGCTAGCAGAAACAGTGCTCTGTCAAAGCAGCGATAGGAAAAACATAATTGTGGTATTTTGTCACCAGCATTATGTGGAAATATTTTTCTTTTAATTGTCAGTAAACAATGGTAGAATTAAATTGCAAGGCACAGCATTTGCATTCCACAGTTTTAAACATTCCTTGTACGCTGGTATATCCGTAGCTTTAGGAACTGCCTCCAATAAATCTATTTCGTAAATGTATAGAACGCGTAGGGTAACAGTCTTTAGCATATATTGCCTCATCGCCGCCTTGGAACTATTTTTCCGCCTTTTGGTAACATTCGATTATAGTATGTTTCTGCACTCTTCGTGTAATCGCTATACAAACATGCCTTGAGGGCGTGGAAAAGTGGTGGACTGCGTGGAGAAGGAGTGCACATGTAGTGGATTGGAAAGTCGCTCAATTGCAGTAACCGTTAATGAAGTGCGTTACACTTGCTGTTCTGGCGTCTCCATTAAATGAGTGATATAGATGCATCCAAGCTAAATTGCATGATAGCATGTGCGGTTAGTTACATCGCACAGCGGAAGTATAAACATGTGAGTATCATCCCAAATGGTGAAAGTCGCTTATAAATCAGTTGGAATTGTGTGTCATGTTTATTATGAACAACAATGCGACGCACCAAGAAGGTTACGCAGCGAATAACAGGTTACATTTAGGTCATTCGCATTTTCGTTGTTTAGGAGATATATAGTTTACTGTACCCGTCTGTATTCGTTGTGCAGATATACAAACTGAGACAATCAATGTACGTAAATGGCTGGCATCAAATTACAAGTTATATTGTTTTCGGAACTTTCTATGTCACAGTGCACTTGTCGCATTAACAAATAATAGCTGATTTATCTTTATGGAAAGTTCTTAACACTGCCGGTAAGACATTAATCGTACTGCTACCTATTTTCCTCAAACTTATCAAACAGGCTCCTGCTCGCGACTTCTGCCGCCCGTTCTCGAATCGTTCACTCGTCAAGCCGAAAACGCGAACAGAAGCACCGAGCGGCATGTAGCGCTACCGAGGCCCCTAGCGGCTGCTTTTACGTATTCAGAACGCGCGCCCGGTCTAGCCTAGTGGAGGGGTAGGTCGATACCGAAACACGAAGGCGCGTGTTGATCGTCTAGGCGGTGCATGTTTTTAACGCGCGGGCGGCCTTCGCGAGAGCAGCTGCGCATAGCGTGCGCTTTCCTCGTGAAGCAGTGTGTGCGCGTCGAAGCGACTGATGGAGACCTCGATTTCGCGTGTCGCCGAGTCGCCCCGCGATGTGTCCGTCGTGGGAACGACTTCGAGCACGCCTGTCGCCGATGGGTACGAGAAAGTGACGAGGGGCTCTCCGGCTCTTCTTTTACGCAGGATCCACAAGCCGTGTGACTCTCTGTTCAGCAGTTCCCGGGGATGGACCAACTACCGAGGCCTCTTCAACTTCTGCATCATATTATTGGCAAGTCCCGACACCATTTTTGTTTTCTTTTAATTTAAAAAAAGCGCGACACCGGAACGCGCAGTAAAACGCACGCTGTGGGGGGCGCGGTGCGAGGCCGCGCTGATGATGACACACTCAGCAATACTCGTGCGCGGGTAGATGCGCATTCTTGCCGGAGAAGGAGTGAGCGTGTCAGCGCGTGCCCAAGGCACGACGATGGATTCGCTCGAGCAACTACAGCGCAAATAAAATCCCTGTTGTAAGGTTTTTCACCAACAATTCGTGAGAGTTGCGGTCTTTCTCAGACGCGCACAAAATCTTGCAGTCCCGGAACTTCACCGCACAGCATCAGCGATGCGCTCCTGTTAAACTCTAGTTTTTTTTTTTTTTTTTTTGCACCGAGTGAATATGGTAAATGCTTGCGCACATGGTGTGTATAAAATGTTGGATAAGCGCTTCTTTCAACTTGGCTTCCCCAGAAACTTATTGTTTCCGCGTGCTCAGATTTGGGTGCACGTTAAAGAACCCCAGGTGGTCGAAATTTTCGGAGCCCTCCACTACGGCGTGTCTCATAATCACATGATGGTTTTGGGAAGTTCAACCCCATATATCAATCAATAAACCAATCAATCAGAAACTTTTTTTAAGTTTCTACACGATGCGACTAGTTTACTTTCCGACAGCCTTTATGCCTTTTCATTTAGTCATGTTCAGGGATTACATCTTCAAGATTTTCTGTAAAGTTTTTTCTAATTTTACTGCTTTTTTTTTCCTTAAAAGTTTTCGGCTGCCAAGCGATGTTCTGTAGTTAATGTGTTTAGTAGCCAGCACAACATATAGTTGCTCTAATAATGAACCGATTTTAAACTTAGCTACGCAAATTAATCGAAACAAATAGGTTATTAAATAATTGTTGAACATTATTATAGAATATTTTTACTCGGCGATAGTTAAGCACATTCGCTAGCTTTTCCTGCTTCCATATTTTACTAGTACAGCGGTCCCGCCAACAATGAAACACCATCTGACCTACATCTGTGTAAGCATATAACAACGGTGTACTGCTTGCGATTCATATTCCTCGAGTAAATCTGAATCAACTTTTAGCTTATATGTAGATAATAACAACTAATAGCGCTATCTAAAATTGCATGAATTGTGACACCTTTGCATAGTAAGCATATTGGTCAATATTACAAAGACAGAAATTTAAGCTAGTTGTTTACTCACGATCGTCCAACAATAGGGCATAAACAAGAGACGAAGGTGGAACATACATGTGCGTCTTGCATGTTTCCTCTATATTCGTCCTCATTATGCTCTATTATGCACGATTTGGTGGGTATGTTGATAAAGACTATGCACGTTACTCAGTTGTTGTATTTCCCGGTTATCGCTCGCGTTTAATTGTGTTTTCATTGCCAATACGTCTTTTTCTTTTGTTCATTAGGGTACGCTGTTCACAGCTCTGTTTTTTTTTCCCCTTCCTATTGATTAAAGTTAAAGGCGGCCTGATGCACCATGTCGAGTGTTAAAATTCGATGAGAGAAGAAAACAAAGCCGGCCGTCTGCCATTTTCCCTCTCCGCCTGGTTAAAAAAGAAAGAGATATACTGATCAAAATTGATCATAATGTCCCTACCGCTTGCGGTTAGTCGTCACCACTGTCATCATAGTCTCCCTGGACTGCATTCTAAGGGTCGAGCGTCAGCACTATAATCACCTTAGTCGTCCGTATCCAACAGAGCATCATCGGTACAGATGTATCCATGCGGCGGAGGGAAAGTCGCATATTAGAGGCGTCCACAGGCTACCGTCGCAGTTGTCCATCCCGGTTCGCCCAGGGCAATATGGTGGATACAAGGAGCGTTTAGCGTCATAACTAAAAGCCTTAATTTACGTTGCATATACATGCTATTAAAGTGTGTCATAGTTGTGGCAAAATGGCAAAATACGCAAACGGGAAAAATATGACGCGCAGCACTGCTCGATAAACCATGAACAGAAGAATCGCTAAGATGCCTCTGGGCTGTGGCAAAGAATGTCAGATTATAATGAATAAATTTACAATGTCGATGTAATTTTTTTCTGTGCATTACAAGCTGCGTACTATGCGCACGCACCTTTGCACACATCGTCCATAATCGATTACATGCATCCGTATTAACGCACATGCTTTTAATGTGCATTTAATATACAACGGTAAGTGCTTTGTGTGAGCCGCGTTTCAATTAAGTATATTGCTGGCTATGTCAGTCATCCCAAGTGATATACGCAGATGATTTACTTGTGAACGACTGCCAAATGCCCGGCACGCCACGTCGCCGCTGATCTCAAGCTTGTCAAATTACTGCGCTGTGGGGTGGGCAGTGGCGACCGCTTCATTAGCCCTTGCTGTTTCCTGGGCCGACTTTCGCAGCTCTATTGCGCACGCATTCAGCACCTCGCTTAAACGTCAAAACAGAAACAACAAAAATGTTTTGAAGCGCCACGCCGAACCTAACTTCATTTTTTTTTATCTTGATACGCAGTGTCCTTTAGGGAAAGAGTATTTTCAGTTAAGTTGCATAGCCAAAAACCACATACAGGGGTGACTTAACGGCTACAGAAACTAAGGCAGTACTTGTTATCATTTCCTTCTTATCCGTGTTTTTCTTTTTCTTTCGCCGTGTCTCAACTGCAACAGTACACCAGCAACTCTTGCCCCAACGATCTATGCACTGCCGACAACAAAATGACTACGGTTCTCCAGACCGAGCTTCGGGGGGTTGTTTGCAGCGTGGCATTGTGTCTGCTGGGTTCACAGAGGAGGGCTGCGAGTGAGCCTGGACACGTGCGTCGTTTCCTTCCTTGGCCTTGGCCGGACGCGCCTATCGCTCGGGCAACGGAAAGGCGTACTATCGCTTTTTCGCTCCCGGCGGTTTCGTCCTTGCTAGTTCGTTCTCCCGCACATTTCCTCTTTTCGCTGTCGTTTGTTTGGATAATTACGTGGCTGAGCCGTAACGAATATGGTAGTGGATTCCCAGCATTTCAAGCGAAACCCTTCGGGTGGCGAAAGTATCGGTCCTAAAGGGCGAGTTTGCCAGTCATCGACAGGGTGTGCTTTTTTTATTTCCGTCGCGTGGAGCAGGCTGTCCGCTACGAAGAATTCGTAGGTATAGTTGTGCTTACCTACAATGGCCTTACCATGTGGATTCCCTGATCCGCGGAAACGATTAGCTTTATTGTTGCTTTTCGATCCGTGCACTGTGAATCGTGTTCGTGCACATCACTATACATATATGGTAGCAGCGATATCGCTTCGCTGACCTTCAAAGTCAGCTGTTCAGTAAGCACACCAAATGCATATATCTCTACCGCAGTATAGTCGTTTGGTAACATTCAGGAATATGAAGCGTGTCGCTTCAGCGAACCTTTGTGCCAAGTGGCTCTACCTGGTGCGCGTGCAATTATTGGTAAGGTTTCTGCGTCCCCGCTGTTTTGCGGAATAGAGGACACGGGTATGTCACCTGCACTGTGTCACTCTCGTGCCAAAGATTTGACAAGAGGTATTTGCGTCCTAAAATGTAAACATCTACGTACTTGCCCTCATTGGTCTGCTGGAGGTTGTACCAAAGTCGATCTGCCTATCCGTATACGCTGATGACATTTGTTTCTGGAGTGCTGTAGTTACTCGCCCGCAGGTGCGTGCGCGAATACAGTGGGCAGCAACCCTGACAACAGCTTCCCCTCAAAAACAAGGCTTTGCTATATCAACCGAGAAGGGCGCGTTGATTGCGTTCCCGCGCAAAACCAATTACGCCATACCCTGTCTACATCAATGGGCAGATTGTCAAATATTCACAGACGCACCGCTTCCTGGGCACCTTAATCAACAAAAGTCTTTCGTGAAACACTCATTGATTTCATTGAATAAATTAAGTAGAGTTTTGACTACTCTTGCATTGATGATGATTTAACTTACTGGTCTGGCGAGTCTGATAGAGGCGGTTTATAGTGTTAATTCCTAGCGACCAGTCTGGTTTACCGTTTTAATGTCTTGTGATGCACCGAAGCCGCGATAAACCAGGAACACCAACGCGTAAATGGTACTGTACCTTTGCATTCCTCCTACAGTGACGCAAAGTTTTCGTTGCCTGTACAACGCCGTCAGTAAAAGGGGAACTTACAGGCGGATTGCACTCGCCGTACAAGTGCACTTGTACACTTATAACGCGCTTTCTGTTCGCCGCCCTTGATTAGGTTTAGGATTAATCTCGTGCACGCGTGTGACGCCTCCTTCAGCTGTGCTTCTTTTCAACTAATATGCGATAATTATTTCACCATATCGGTTCTCTCTGCCCTCGGCACTTTGGCCGCATGCTCTGATGGGGTCGCTTATCGTGTGTATCCTGTACATTATTAATTGCAGCATCGTTGTTTGCAGGTATCTTCACTTTATTACTCGAGCCGCAGTATAACGCACTTCGATGACTTGAATAGAATTTCGACACTACTTTCATGACAAATCGCTTAGCGCATGCCTAGTTCCTCAATAAAATTTTATATTTACTGTTTAAATATCCGCATTAAGTAACTTGTTTCATTGGTGGATTATAAATCTAAGTTATTTGAACTATGAGAAATCCTGAAACGAACCCAGTTTTCGTTATCCTTGTCCCCAAAATCTGCACTGCTTGGAAACGAATACATATAAACCTCACTGCCGGCCCTGATCACAGAAGCTTGGCTTTGAAGACATTCTTTTGTAAGTATACTCACATGACTTTAATTACTTATCCTCAATAGCTATTCTGAAATAATTTAAGTATGTCCGTCTATTCGATACTACGCACTGCGATTTCTCACACGAATACGGCTCATCTCGTCAGATGATCTTATATGGCTGCTCTACAATCGTGCCGTGACTCGAGTACCCTTAATTCCGTGCCGCGCGTGCTTTGCGTGTGTGACTCGAGTGTCAGTGCTGATGACCGTTTTGGTGTCTGACCTCGCTGAACAGCTCGTGCGGCATCAGCA